TCGTGCATCTCCTCAATTTCTTTCCAACTTTAGACCACTGAACTTCTCCATTTTCTTTTCGACTCCACTTTCAAGTTTCCTTTCTTCTCCTATTCTTCATCCCAATGGGCAGCCAAAAGACAGCAACCAAAACCGGCGCACGAAAATGCATGGTTAATGGTTGTTCAAACTGAGACTGAAACTTATTGAGTGCATGCAAATATTTAACCATAACTGCATTTTCGTGCAACGGTAGCAGATGGTAACATGCATGCACCACGATACACACTCCACATGGCCAATCAGGGTATTGAGAAACCGACCAATATGATGGGCCCAAGAACACGCGATCGGATTGGTTGAATACTGGAAAGAAGAGAGACCATATCGGTACCGATTGGACAAGGAGAAATGGTCTATTGTGTTTTAAAACCGGTCACGCAAGCTGGTTGAGACAGCCTATCGCAATCTAGTCTTCGTTGTGTCGTACTTATGGAAAGCCCACTGAAGCACATGGACAGCTTGTTGCAAATTGATGAATGGTCCGATTCGGGGCAGTAATTCAGTATGATACGTAGTTATTTACGAATCCCTGCCATTTGCGTATATCGCTGGATCAAGGAGGGCGGATACCAAGTGGCGCGCCAGCAATTGGAGCGCCTAGAGTTTGTATTAACGAGAAATAGTCGATGGTCAGAGCATAGAGTCAATAGCCGTTTAAGGTTTTTTTAACAGGAATCTAACCAGCCTCCGAATGCCTCAGTACGGTTGGGGGTCGGTGTCTTGGGTTGCCGCTGGTCACCCTTCCTTTGCACCTCGCGAAATGCTTCTATAGGATTAAGCGTCTCAAATAGCTTCTGCTGAGGAAGCCCCACCCACTGCCTTCCCGTGGCAGAAGTGTTTCCCCCACCAAAGTGAGAGGACGAAAAGCCAACATCCGGGTTGGTGAACCGTTGGCAGTCCACCCAGGGGAGTTGGCCGTCCGGGGCTATAGCCGGGTTGGTGGACCACTGGCAGTTCACCTAGAGGAGTTGGCCGAAAACCCTGATTCCAAACCAATCATGAGGAGACGTACGAACCACACCCACACCTTTTCGGTTGTGGCAGTGGTCACCGGCTCAATTGGACATCCAGGTGTATTGGGTACCTTGGACATTTGACCCAGTACAAAACGGGGTATGATTCAGTGAACTGGACACCGGCCTCCAATGGATTTAAGTTTTCCCACACCGTCACGCTGCCTTGCAGGTCGGACTTTGGCTAGTCGAAAGCTCCGGTTGTAAATTGCCTAAGAAAATTTACCTGCCTTGATCTGGGCAACCTGGTAGTATTCGCCCACGAACAAATCATGGAACGTTTCTATAGAGATCACTGTACCGTGATTTTTTGGCACATAGTCTGGCTTCAGAAGTGTGTGAAATGCACAATTTAACACCCTAACGCGAACCGTTTCAAGAGGGCCAATCTATCTTAGCCTTCGTATCGTCCGCTGAAAAGATATTAGCAGCTCGATTCGTTTAACTCGAGAGGTTGAGCAACTTTTGGTACAAGATATTTTTGACTGCATATAAGGTGCCATCCGTAGATGAGTACGCGGGGGGTGAGAGGTTACTTTTTTGGGCCTTCAAGTCTCACTGCGCGCAACCTAATGTCGACTGACATCCAGTCGAGCTTGAATGCTCACCGAGGACGTAGAGCATCAGCGATAGTCAGTGAGACTTAGAGACTAGTCGGTGCAGGGGGCAATCCTGACAGTATAGTCAACTGAAATTATCGGCGAATGTGACTGCCTGAGAACGGTGAAAAAACGAGGAAGATTTGAGGAAGCAAGATTGTGTGTGCGGTTTAGAATAGCTATTTATCATGGGTTGGAGTGAAGAACTTGAGCTGGCGGGGTGAAGTCCAGAGCTGTATGAGTTGCGGGCTTTTGTGCCGCTCTGGTGCCTGATCCAAGGATGTGTAGTGACACGCCACTTTCACCTTTTACCTACTTCTTTTCTACTCGCTACGAGCTTTTGTTTTACCGGGTGCACCTTACCTGTTTACGCTCAACCGCGGAATTGTCACTTGTCCCGGTGAGTCACGCTGCATCGCTACACGTGTAAACCTTTCACTGCAGGTCTGATCCTATAAACCGTTGGTCCCGAGCTATCCGCCTTCTTACTCTTCCGGGAGCAATAGTCGTATTGCTCTTTGTCATACTCGATTGTTGAGGTAAATCGTGTTTGGTTATCGTAGATAGTGTTAGCTATCTAAAGATGTACCAGGCGCGAACTGCAAGGCGGTCGAATCATTAGAGGGGAACCGATCGCCAGTTCCATTAGTCATTCATCTGCTTGACAGAACTTTGTCGGGTAAATGGAATTCGACAAGGGCTATATTTAGTGGCTAGCTAAATTCGCCGTCATAGATATATGTGGTGTTTGCACGGAGACCCCCTGCTAAGTGGTAGCCCCAACAAATCTTCCAGTACTCGTGCTGACTATGTGGGGCTGCTTCTTCAGTGAGTCCAGGTCCACCTTATTTACAGTTAGTCGCCAATTAGCAAAATGGGGACGCATTCGAGACCGCATAGTCCTGTTCTTCCGAGTCTGATGAATTTAACCAATTTGCAACTGTTTTTTTTATTTAAGACTGATGGCTGATTTTCAGTTCTTGTAACCATGAACCGTACACCTTTGTACAGCGGTTTCGGTTGCTGTCTTTAGGTTACCTGCTCGTAAAAGAGCAGAAGGAAGATTGGAATGTTGCAGGCCGATTAAAAGAGAACATAGAGAATTCACATGGATAATGAGATACACGAGCGTCACTGTGAGACAGCTATATCACTCAGTGTATGATGATCAAACACACTGAACCGAATTTGCAGCCTAGTGGATCAAAGCAACCATCAACGTTTCGTGTACCGCTATCTGTTGCTCTTTCTAACACCCAATTGGTCAGCAGCAGTACACAATGCGGCAGCCACTGCCACCTCACAAGCACTGAAGATGTCACCTCGACCGGTGATGTTCGCAAACAAATTACCAAGCTCGACGAACACGTGACAGTTAACATTCAACTACTGCTCCGTTGGTCGGTGTGTCCCCAACCACTAAGCCTAATGCAGCCCACTTCGCAAACTTCCCTCGCGTCAGAAAATGATACGGTTAACATTGACTTTCTTCCAACTGATGGCTGCGTTTGCTAACATTGCACACCAAGGAAGCGTATCTGGTAACATGCGTGCAACCACTGGAATTTATGGAGGTCAAGGATTTGTGCCATTGCTCGACTGTGATTAATTAATACAGTTCGCCCAGCCTCCACACAGCTTCTTCGGTAATTTCATCACACTCGTACAACCTAGCGCAGACAACGGTGATAACAAATAATAAGAAATATATATTTGTGCTGTAACAGGAAATATATAATCTGGCGTATAAATGCAAAATTGTACCAACTTCCGACAGCCCGGAGACGTTTTGTTATGGGGAGTGGATCGTGTCGGATACATGAAGCCACAAAAATGCAGATGGTATTTTGTCTGAAACTTGAGGGGCTTCCGAGAGGTTCCAAAGGACCACAGATTCCAGCTGTTGGGTAATTGAGATTGGCTCTGGTTCTCCATCAACCAAATGCCCATTGGGTTGCACAAGAACTGCAACATATGGTTTAGGTATATCCAATTTTTTGCCACGAACTGGCCGACCGCGGATACTGGCCATCAGCGCGGGTGATCCGTCTATATCAGAACATCTGTAAGTCACACAAATACAATTGAGACGCTAAGGAACAACCGAAAACTCACTGTTCCCGACTAATGAACATGGATTCAATGTCCGCACTTGTCTGATCGGCATCTATATAGCAAGGCAACCAATGGGCAATCATTGATGAGGTAGGTTTTAGCTTTAAAATAGAATGGAGAACATCAGAAGTGTGCTCACTGAAAACGTTTTGTAGAGAGTATGCCGCCCTAATACAAAAGGTTTACCATATTTTTGAGATGAACATAACTGAGCATTTCGCGTTTCATTTCCACAACCACTTAAACAGGGTTTCGTTGCACCAGCTATCGTTATGCTCCTGGAAAAATTCATTAGGTAAACTATAGAACATCCAAATTGATCGATTTTGAAAAGGCTTTGAAAAAAACAAAGCATAATAGTAATACAGGTTTATTAGATATATAAGCTGTAGATGCACCTAAAAGGCTACCTGGAGAATCGAAGAAGGCAGCACATGTGCGCTAGGCATGAGTGAGGCAAAATCTGATATCAACCATCGCTCGACAAGCCCCACTTCTGTTGTAAGCAAAATAATAACATTAACCTAACCATCACGACGAGACTGCACCTTCACGTGATGTAATGGATTGTGCACCTCGCTGACCCAACGAGTTACACGCGACGGCTTTTGTCAAGCCAGGAGATCCTATCATGAACGCAAAGTCAATGGGTAGAGGTCGGATGAAGTCCGATCTGGTCTTTCAGGTTNCAGGTTGAGGGTTCCACTGAAATTTGAGTTACAGTCGGTAACAAATGATAGGGGAGTAATCAAACCAAGTAAATGGGCCTGCACTTCGCTTCACCCGCTGCCTTGCGGCTAGGTTCTTCTCAGAACTAAAGGCTTTGGACGAGAACCATAATCGTTCCGCTTAATGGCTGAACACATTAGCAGTACCAATGCACTAAAAACCACCAATGCATACACGAACTAAAAATAATTCCATACCGCATCTCATCACGACGAGACTGAACCCTGACGTCTTGTGGTGGTTGACGTGCATACAAGATCCTGGAATCTACATAGGATGGCTTTTCACAGCCTTAGATCCAACTATGCC